TTTTTTTTTGGGTAGAGAAGGGTGTCTTGCTGTGTTGTTGCCCAGGGTGGTCTCAAACTCCTGGCCTCAAGCAGTCCCCTACCTCAGCCTCCGAAAGTGCTGAGATTATAGGCGTGAGTGCCCAGCCTGGTCTTTCATTCATTAAAAAATTAACTGGGCTGCGCGTGGTGGCTCACACCTGTAATCCCAGCACTTTGGGAGGCTGAGGTGGGTGGTCTTGAACTCCTGAAGGTCAGGAGTTCGAGACCAGCCTGGTCAACATGGTGAAACCCTGTGTGTATTTAAAAATATAAAAAATTAGCAGGGTGTGGTGGCAGGTGCCTGTAATCCTAGCCAGTTGGGAGGCTGAGGCAGGAGAATCGCTTGAATCCAGGAGGTGGAGGTTGCAGTGAGCCAAGATCCTGCCATTGCACTCCAGCCTTGTCAACAAGAGCAAAACTTCTAAAAAACAAAAAACAAAAAAACCCCAAAAAACCCAAAACAAAACAAAAACTGAGCACCTACTGTATGCCTGGTTCTGCTGGGCTATGCAATACTTCTCTGGAACAAAAACATAAATTGAAACTGTATTTTTCCCTGTACTAGCCTCTCAACACTAAATTCTTTTACTTTGGGGGAAAAAAAAGTTAGCCCAGCTCAAAGGCTTTGCCCCATTCCTGGCAGGGAGCAATTATGACCAGAGGGGCTGGGACATCTGCTCCTAATTAGCTTTTCCTGCTGAGGTCCTGGAATACTAAAGGATTTCTGAAGGGCCTTGGTGTCCCCTACCCCCATTCTTCTGGGGTGGGGGAGCGGGTTCCTGTATGTGAAGACGGAATTTCCTGCCCATTTGCTCCTCACACCTTCCGGAGGCCAAACGGGCAGCCCAGCTGCGGCCCGAAGGGGGAGGGGCGCGGCCGCCCGGCAGATGGCGGCATTTACATACAGCTGGGAGCCCCCTCTGAGGCCGGGCTTCTCGCCCTGGCGTCTGGTGCGTCCGCGATGGGGGATTTGGGAGGGTGGCTTTGTTTTGGGGAAGGGGATCACACACACGCCAGCACACAGGGGTCCACAAAGAGCCTCAGATTTTCATCATATCCACTCACAGCTACACCGGTGGACCTCTCAAATCCAATCTCATTCACACAAACGAACGCACACAGGGGTTCACAAGGAACTCTGTATCTTCATCGTATCCACACGTGGCTACATCCGTGGACCTCCCAAACCCAGTCTCATTCACACACAGGCGTCCTCAGCCATTCCCCGCCTTGCACAGCCCCCGCACAGAGCACAAAGTCACAGGTTCTGTACGCCTACATAGGATCTCCCGTAAACACGCACGGAGAAGCATCCACACAGCCACAGAATCTCGAAGGGCCACACAGTCACGAAGTGGTGTACACATCTAGTTTCCCATGCGGGGGTGCGTGCAGAAGCAGAATTGTTTACAACCTCATAATTTTGTCAGTCACAGACAACTCCAGGCATATGCTGAGCCGCGCAGTCCCACGTGGACACGCAGTCACAAAGTCGTGTGCACCCTCCAGCAGCGCTGGTCCATACCACACACCAAATCTTAAAATCATGTGCAACCTCACACACAGGCTTAGCCCCGAAACCCCGCCCCACGCCAGCCAAACACAAAGTTGCGGGATCACCCACTCACGACCTGGCCCGTGCCCACGACCACAGACGAAATCTCTCTGTTGCTCCTGCACGCTCCCCTTCCCTGGTGACCAACCACCCTCCCTTGGTCCCCTGGGGCCGGGTAGCTGCCTGAGGGGCGGGGCCATTCCCTCAGATATAAGGCTTGGAAGCCAGCAGCTGCGACTCCCGAGACCCCCCAAGAAGGCCATGGTCTTCCCACGGATGTCCGGGCTACTGTCCCAGACCGTGATCCTAGCGCTCTTTTTTGTCCCCCAGGTCAGAGCCAGGCGGGAGGTGGCGTGGAAAGGGATGAATGCGGGAGTGGGGTGGGGGTGCGACCTGAAAGTCCTGAGGAGGGGGGCGCGGGGCAGACGGGACGTCTGGGTCCCCCGGCTGCCTCACCCTGCGCCCGCCTCCATACCAGGCACGGCCCGCTGGCGTCTTGGAGCTGCAGATCCATTCTTTCGGGCCGGGTCCAGGCCCGGGGGCCCCGCGGTCCCCCTGCAGCGCCCGGGGTCCCTGCCGCCTCTTCTTCAGAGTCTGCCTGAAGCCTGGGCTCTCGGAGGAGGCCACCGAGTCCCCGTGCGCCCCGGGCACGGCGCTGAGTGCGCGCGGACCCGCCTACACCGAGCAGGCCGGAGCACCCGCGCCTGATCTGCCACTGCCCGACGGCCTCTTGCGGGTGCCCTTCCGGGACGCCTGGCCGGTGAGTGCTGCCCCTGGGGTACTCCCGCTGCTGGAGGCCTAATCCTGCCACCGAAACCCCCACCTCCTGTCCCCTCCAGCTTCCAAGACCCTAATCCTGCCTCCCTGCCTCCCAGGGGGTGGACCAAATTCCCAGACCAGTAACTCTACGATCCCCACATTCCCAGACCCCTAAACCCTGCACACTGGGGATTCTAAATGTTCTGATTCCCCTGCCCTGCATGCTGGGACCCCAAATTCCCAGAATCTCAAACCCAGCCTCTGAAATCCTAAACTCAAGGAACTCTATCTCTGCTCCTTGGGGATCCCTAAAAACTGGGGTCCTCATCTTTATCCCCAAACCTCTCACCTTGTCTTGGGGACCACTTATATCTTCTTTTTTTTTCCTGTTCTCAGTTCTTTCAGTTGGGTCCTGTATTAATTACTCTTTCACCTCCAAAATCCTGTCTCCCAACCCCACAACCCTAAGGCACAAAGATTTTTTTGTTTTGAGACAGTTTTGCTCTTGTTGCCCAGGCTGGAGTGCAATGGTGTGATCTTGGCTCACTGCAACCTCTGCCTCCTGGGTTCAAGCGATTCTCCTGCCTCAGCCTCCTGAGTAGCTGGGATTACAGGTGTGCACCACCATGCCTCGCTAATTTTTTTGCATTTTTAGTAGAGACAGGGTTTCTCCATGTTGGTCAGGCTGCTCTCAAACTCCCGACCTCAGATGATCCACCCACCTCAGCCTCCCAAAGTGCTGGGATTACAGGCATGAGCCACTGTGCCTGGCCCCAAAGGCACAAAGATGAACAGACCTGTATTAGAATTCTAGATCATTGTCTTTTTGGACAAGTAACTGCCTGGTTTCCAGCCTCAGTTTGCCAAGCTATAAAATGGGATCATCCTGGTACCTCACAAGGGTCTCTTCTGAGCGATTCAACCACGTCTCTTTAATAAAGTGCTTACCATGTAGTATGTGCTCAATAAAGCAAGCCATGTTCAGGGGCTGACCCTGTAATTCCAGAACTTTGGGAGACCTAGGCAGGAGGATAGCTTTAGCTCAGCAGTTTGAGACTAGTCTCAGTAATATTGTGAGACCTTGTCTCTCTCTCTTTTTTTTTTTTTGAGACGGAGTTTCCCTCTTGTTGCCCAGGCTGGAGTGCAATGGCAGGATCTTGGCTCATCGCAACCTCTGCTCCCAGGTTCAAACGATTCTCCTGCCTCAGCCTCCCGAGTAGCTCAGATTACAGGCATGTGCCACCATGCCCAGCTAATTTTGTATTTTTAGTAGAGACGGGGTTTCTCCATGTTGGTCAGGCTGGTCTTGAACTCCCAACCTCAGGTGATCCACCTGCCTCGGCCTCCCAAAGTCCTGGCCTATGAGACCTTGTCTCTACTAAATAAATAAATAAATAAAATAAAATTAGTGGAGCAGGGTGACATGTGCGTGTAGTCCCAGCTACTCGGGAGGCTGAGGTGGGAGGACTGCTTGAGCCCCAGAGGTTGTTGCAGTGAGCCAAGATCGCTCCACTGCACTCCAGCCTGGTTGACAGAGTAAGACCCTGTCTCAAAAAAAAAAAAAAAAAAAAAAAGGGGCCAGGTGCAGTAGTTCATGCCTGTAATCCCAGCACTTTGGGAGGCCGAGGCGAATCATGAGGTCAGGAGTTCGAGACCAGCCTGGCCAACATTGTGAAAGCCCATCTCTACTAAAAATATAAAAATTAGCCAGGCATGGTGGTGCGCGCCTATAGTCCCAGCTACTCAAGAGGCTGAGACAGGAGAATCACTTGAACCTGGGAGACAGAGGTTGCAGTGAGCTGAGATGGTGCCACTGTACTCCAGCCTGGGCAACAGAGCAAGACTGTGTCTCAAAAAAAACAAAACAAACAAACAAACAAAAAAGCCGCAGAAGTCATTCCCTCCTTGGGCTGGGCTGGCCCCTCTGGGGATTGTCCCTTGCTTGCTCCGGTTCCTAGTACTGGCCATCACCCTTCCCTCCTGAACTCTGGCCTTCATTGAATACTTACCCTAACCCCTGTCTTTCATTCCCCCTTCCTTCACCCAACCAGGGCACCTTCTCTCTCATCATTGAAACCTGGAGACAGGAGTTAGGAGATCAGATTGGAGGTGAGTGTCTTCTGCCTTGGGACTGGTGGGGAGCTGGGGTCCACGTGAGACTCGAGGTTGATAGTGTTGTCTGTAGGTCTTATGATGTCATCACAGCTCCTGGGGTGTGGTGCTGGGTGTTGGCTGCTCCAGGGCTCTTGGCATCTCAAGCACAGACATGTCCTGGTACTGGATGTAGCAGTCTGTGGTCCTGGTACCAGATGAAGTGGGGGAAACGCTCTTACTACCGAAGCCACCAGAGGAGGGCATAGCATCTCACAGCCCTACTTCATCACCATCTGATGTCGAGAGCTCAGGGTGCAATATGAGTTACTTCTGGTTCTTCTATGTGAAGCTTTTTTTTTTTTTTTTTTTTCCCTGAGATGGAGTCTCACTCTGTCACCCAGGCTAGAGTACTGTGGCATGATCTTGGCTCACTGAAACCTCTGCCTCCCAGGTTCAAGCAATTCTCCTACCTCAGCCTCCCGAGTAGCTGGGATTACAGGTGCCCACCACCATGCCCAGCTATTTTTGTTTGTGTTTTTAGTAGAGACGGGTTTCACTATGTTGGCCAGTTCTCGCTCTCTATAAGAGAACTGCTTTTTTTTTTTTTTTTTTTTTTTTTTTTTTTTTTTTTTTTTTTTTTTTTTTTTTTTTTTTTTTTTTTTTTTTTTTTTTTTTTTTTTTTTTTTTTTTTTTTTTTTTTTTTTGAAATGGAGTCTTGCTCTGTCACCCAGGCTGGAGTGCGATGGTGCCATCTCAGCTCGCTGCAACCTCCGCCTCTTAGATGAATGTGATTCTCCTGCCTCAGCCTCCTGAGTAGCTGGGATTACAGGCGTGCCACCATGCCTGGCTAATTTATTTTTTATTTTTAGTAGAAACAGTTTCACCATGTTGGTCAGGCTGGTCTTGAATTCCTGACCTCAGTTAATCCACCTGTCTCGGCCTCCCAAACTGCTGGGATTACAGGTTTGAGCCACCGCGCCTGGCCGAGAGAACTGTTACTTAGGGTATAGAGGGGACCCCGACATTGCAGGCCCCAGGGTGCACTGGGGAGTTCGCAGCCTTGCTACGTAAGGAGGGTGACTGCCATTCTCCTCGCGAGGTCCAAGGACCCCAGGGCTCCATGGGGGTGTTTTGGCTTCGCTGGGAGGGGCAGGGAGAGTGCGGCCGGGGCGCTCAGTGTGCACCCGCGTCCGGCCGGGCCCACCCCATCGCCCCTGCTTTGCTTGTTCCCGCAGGGCCCGCCTGGAGCCTGCTTGCGCGCATGGCCGGCCGGCGGCGCCTGGCAGCTGGGGGCCCGTGGGCCCGGGACGTTCAGCGCGCAGGCGCCTGGGAGCTGCGCTTCTCGTACCGCGCGCGCTGCGAACCGCCAGCCGTCGGGGCCGCGTGCACGCGCCTCTGCCGCCCACGCAGCGCCCCCTCGCGGTGCGGCCCGGGACTGCGCCCTTGCGCGCAGCTGGAGGAGGAGTGTGAGGCGACAGGTGAGTCCTGCGTTCGATCCCACCCCCTCCCAGCCCGGGACCCCGGGACCCCGGCCCCTCCTGAGCGTCACTCGCGGCCCTCAGTCCCTTCTCACAACCCAGTCACCCTTTTCAGGGTGCCCTAGAGCCCCCACCACGTACCACAGGCACCCCTCTCCAGGGAGCTAGGGAACGCGCTGACTGCTGCGGATGTACCCTAAACCCCGCTAACCATCCAGCTGCCACCTTCGGGGAAACTGAGGACCCTAGACTTCTCTTCAGCTCTGCCTTGCTACTCCAGCCCCCTTCCCTCTCCCAGCCCTCTTGTTATCTCAGATAGGAAGCCCACACCCATTTCCCATGCTGGCACCCTCCGGTTCTTTTCCTAACCCACGCTCACACCGTGTCCCGATGCTAGGACCCCCAAAGCTCTTCTAATTCTGCGGCCCTCCTGACTCCCACCCGGAAGCTTTGGAAACTCTCCCCAGTCCACTCCCGCCAAGGAATCCTCCGTCCTCTGTCCCTGAGGTTGCAGGCCAGAACCCATGCCTTCTTAAAGCTTGGGATTCTTCAGATCCCTCCCCTAATTTCAGAGCCCTATCAAGACCCCTAGGACTCCCAGGCTAATCCAGATATTCCCAGAGCCACCCTAATTCAAGGCACTCCCATCTTCCCTGAAAGGCCAGGTGTTCCCCCCACCAATCCCAAATTCCCTCCCTTTCTCCTGTCTGCACGTTCTGACCAGCGTGCCCCCGACCCATCCTCCTTCAAAGAGTACAGTCTCCAGCCCAGTGGCCTGGTCACCTCGCCTGTGTGGGCCTCAGTTTCCCTGTCTGTAAACTGAGGGGAGGGTCACAATACCATCTAGTCCCGATGATTATCTGTCACAAGGATGAAGCAAGGTGGGGCAGGGACCGTGCTTAGAAACCTCCCTGCTTTCCATCTTGCCCTTGGCCTCCCCGACATCGGTGATCCCTTTCTCTCTGCCTCTCTGTCCCCCATAGCAGAGTGCCAAGCAGGCTGCAGCCCAGAGCACGGCTTCTGTGAGCAGCCTGGTGAATGCCGATGCCTGGAGGGCTGGACTGGACCCCTCTGCACGGTCCCTGTGTCCACCAGCAGCTGCCTCAGCCCCAGGGGCCCATCCTCTGCCACCACCAGATGCCTTGTCCCTGGGCCTGGGCCCTGTGATGGGAACCCGTGTGCCAACGGGGGCAGCTGTAGTGTCAGTATCACCCCTTCCCACCTTGTCCTGCTTGGTACCTTACCCGGGAAGCCACAGCCCCCTCCCTGGGGCTCCATGAGACACTAGCCTGGGGAGTAGGTCTGGGAATAACTATCAGGGAGGGCTGCACCTGGGGCCTTGAAGTAGGATTAGGTGATGGGGATGGGACTGGGGAGAGCAGCCTCAGTGGGTGGCCCCTAAAGGTGTGGGAGTGGAAATGATGAGGAGCCGTGGGGGGCCGCAGCTGCCCCCACTGTGGGACTGAGAATGATTCAGGGCCTAAGGTAGTGGGTGGTAGGGACAAATAGGTTGGAGATTTGGGATCTGGGGGACAGGGGGTGAAAACATCGGAGAAGGCTTCCTGGAGATGGCCCAGGACGGGGGCTTCTGGGAGGTGATTAGAGAAGGGTGTCCAGGTGAGGGGCCCGCAGGGAGCAAGGGTGCAGAGGTGGCAGTGAATGAGCCTGGCGTGGAGTGCTGGGATACAGTAGGGCCCAGTGTGGGCCACCTGGACATGGACACACTCAGGGTTCAAATACTTAGGGGGAGGGCCTGGGAAGGAGAGATCCAGAGAAGGCTTCCTGGAGGAGGTGGGCTGAGATCTAGGACCTCCTAATAGGACTCGTCAGTGTGGACAGAAGCAGGGAGGGATGCCCAGGCAGGCAGGCTTTGGTAGACAAAGGTGTGGTGGGAATGGGGTCATTCTGGGCTCCCAGAGCCTCCTCCCTGTGGGGTCCCATGGGCAGACACAAAAACGTGGAGTGGATTGAGGGGATGTTGGGAGGACCTCCCAGAGTGGCCCCTGCACAGTGGGACTTGGGACTGGACAAGGAGGAACCCCCAATGGTTAGGACTGAGGAGGGGGATGGGATTTTTCTCCAAGGAAACTCCCTTCCGAAGTCCTCTTGTCCCTGCCCAGGAGACCCCCGGGTCCTTTGAATGCACCTGCCCGCGTGGATTCTACGGGCGGCTGTGTCAGGTGAGCGGGGTGACATGCGCGGATGGACCCTGCTTCAACGGCGGCTTGTGTGTCGGGGGCGCAGACCCTGACTCTGCTTACGTCTGCCACTGCCCACCTGGTTTCCAAGGCTCCAACTGTGAGAAGAGGGTGGACCGGTGCAGCCTGCAGCCATGCCGCAATGGTGAGGCCTGGAGGCCAGAACGGCCAGGGATGGGGTGGGGGCCCTGCATGGCTCACAGTCCTGGGCTGGGATCCTGGCTTTGCTTCTTCTAACCCTAGGGCCTGGGGACCTGACCTTCCACCCCCAACCCTGTTTGCTCTATAAAATGGGCAAGGAGACATTCCCTATCTCACAACTATTTACTGAGAATTCACTGTGTGCCAGGCCTGATTCTAGGCACGGAGGATGCAGTAGGGAATGAAACAGACAAAATCCTGCCCTGGTAGAGCTGAGGTGGTAGGAAGCTGCCTGCTGTGCTGGGGCTGAGCAGGGGAACCAGTGTGGTCACACTGACGAGATGAGGTAGGGACTGAGATAAGACTGAGGTGAATCTCGTGGGACCCCCTGGGTCACAATAAGGGGGACTTCACTTTTCCCCTGAGTGAGATGGAGCCACAGGAAGATTCTGAGCTGGGAGGAGACCTGGGATCGGTGCTAAAAGATTAAATGAGGCCGGGTGCGGTGGCGCAAGCCTGTCGTCCCAGCTACTCGGGAGGCTGAGGCAGGAGAATCGCTTGAACCAGGGAGGCATAGGTTGCAGTGAGCCGCGATCGCACCACTGCACTCCAGCCTGGGCGACGGGGTGAGAAAGACTGAATTAAAAAAAAAAAAAAGATTAAATAAGATATGGATGTAAAGGGCTGCCTGTGTCTCTTCTTGGGAGTGAATGCAATAATTCTCCCAAACACTGAGTGTTCACTCTGGGGTGTGTGGTACTAGGGCCACAGCAGGGACCAGGACATCTCTGGGCCACACCCTCCTGGGGGTAGCATCCCAGAGGGGAAGACAGACACCCTCAGACAGGGTGGGTGGTCAAGGGCTGTGATCTGGGAGCACAGGGCAGCGATCAGGGCAGGGATGGAGGAAGGAGCATCGGAGTGGAGACCTGAGGGGTGGGCTAGCGAAGAGAAAAGGTGGGAAAAAATGGGAGAAAAAGAGGAAGGGAAGAGAGGGGGCATTCTAGGCAGAAGAAAGCCAGAGGGTTCAAACACATAGTTCTGGGAGCTGTTTACTATTGAAGTATGATCGAAGCCGAGGGAGAAAGAGACAAGGGCACAGAGAGCCAAAGAGGTGGCGCTAAATTAATTATTCCAAAACTTCATCAGGTAGAAAGGAAGAGAGCTGGCTTTCCTGGCACACTCCAAGGCGCTGGCCCTGGATTTAAGAGACAGAGAGAAAAACGGGACCCCCGTGCGGCGATGATAGAGCTGGAAACAGGGCGGGCAGGCTGGCCGCCGGCCCCCGGGCTGCGCCCTCTGATGTCCCCTTCCCCGCAGGCGGACTCTGCCTGGACCTGGGCCACGCCCTGCGCTGCCGCTGCCGCGCGGGCTTCGCGGGTCCGCGCTGCGAGCACGACCTCGACGACTGCGCGGGCCGCGCCTGCGCTAACGGCGGCACGTGCGTGGAAGGCGGCGGCGCGCACCGCTGCTCCTGCGCGCTGGGCTTCGGCGGCCGCGATTGCCGCGAGCGCGCAGACCCGTGCGCGGCGCGCCCCTGCGCTCACGGCGGCCGCTGCTACGCTCACTTCTCCGGCCTCGTCTGCGCCTGCGCGCCTGGCTACATGGGCGCGCGGTGCGAGTTCCCCGTGCACCCCGACGGCGCAGACGCGTTGCCCGCGGCCCCGCGGGGCCTGAGTCCCGGGGACCCGCAGCGCTTCCTTTTGCCTCCGGCTCTGGGACTGCTTGTGGCCGCGGGCGTGGCCGGCGCCGCGCTCTTGCTGGTCCACGTGCGCCGCCGTGGCCAAGCCCAGGATGCCGGGTCTCGCTTGCTGGCGGGGACCCCGGAGCCGTCAGTCCACGCACTCCCGGATGCACTCAACAACCTAAGGACGCAGGAGGGTCCCGGGGATGGCCCGAGGTGAGGGGCTGCGCCGCAGACGAACGCCTCGTGCTGCCCGCTGCTTGCGCCAATCTCCGTGGTGCAGTTGTCCCAATTCACTGATGCATCTCCCTGGTCGGTCTCTCTTACCCCTAGCTGGCTTTGGGTTCCCCTTTGTGATGGGTAGGGGAAAACAAGATCTGAGAATTTAAAGGTTCTGGATTTTTCTTTCCTCCCACAGCTCATCCATAGATTGGAATCGTCCTGAAGATGGAGACTCTCGAGGGATTTATGTCATATCTGCTCCTTCCATCTACGCTCGGGAGGTATCGATGCCCCTTGTTCCCCCGCTACACACACTGGGCGCGCTGGGCAGAGGCAGCGCCTGCTTTTCCCCTACCCTGCCTCGATTCTGTCTGTGAAATGAATTGGGTAGAGTCTCTGGAAGGTTTTAAGCCCGCTTTTCAGTTCTAACTTAGTTTCATTTTATTTTGCGTCTCTCTTGTTTTGAGCTGCCTGGCATCTTCTCTCTGGAAAGCTATGGGCTTGAAGAAGTCACGATGGGGACTCTGCCAGAGCGTCTCCACTGATTCTACTCTGCTGGGAGGCAGGGGAGGCAGAGGGGCAGCCTCTCTAATGCTTCCTGCTCATTTTGTTTCTAGGCCTGACCGGTCTCCTCCATCCGCACCTGGAGTCAGAGCGTGGATGTTTTTGTATTTGCTTGGTGGTTCCCAGTGTCTGCCCCAGAGGTTTTGGAGTTCAATCTCGAAGGGGTGTCTGGGAGAACTTTACTGTTGCAAGTTGTAAATACTGGTTATTTATATCCTATTTTTTCTCACCCCATCTCTCCAGAAACATCTATAAAGGCTGTTATTTTGATCAGTTTTGACTCACGAGGTTGAATGCTTTGTATGTGCCATTGGGGCTGAGGGGAAGAGATTTTGTCTCCAGAGGAGAATAGTAGACAGGACTCTTTATGCAGGGGTCAGAAACACTCAAACTGCTTTAAATATAAAAGAATTCATGGCTGGGTGCAGTGGCTCGTGCCTGTAATCCCACTGAGCCACTGAATGAGATCAGTGGCTGAGGCAGGAGGATCAATTGAGGCTGGGAGTTGGAGACCAGCTGGACAACACAGTGAGACCCTATCTATATGAAAAATTAAACAAAGATGAGCCAGGTGTGGTGGTGCACCTGTAGTTCTACTTACTTGGGAGACTGAGGCCAGGAGGATTGCCTGACCTCAGGAGTTTGAGGCTGCAGTGAGCTATGATAATACCACTGCACTAAAGCCTGGGCTAAGTACAGCAAGATCCTGTCTCTTTAAAAAAAAAAAAAAAAAGTATTCAGCTGGGCGTGATGGCTCATGCCTGTAATCGAAGCACTTTGGGAGGCTGAGGTGGGCGGATCATGAGGTCAGGAGTTGGTGACTATCCTGACTAACATGGTGAAACCCCCATCTTTAGACTGGGCCTGGTGGCTCATGCCTGTAATTCCAGCACTTTGGGAGGCTGAGACAGGCAGATCACCTGAGGTCTGCCTTAGCCTTCCAAAATTCTGGGATTACAGGAGTGAGCCACCAGGCTTAGGCTCTTTTAGACAACTAGCTCTGGAGGGAACTTACAGAGCGAGAAGTCATTCATTACCGTGGGGAGGGGACTAAACCATTCTTGAGGGATTTTCTTCCAAACACCTCCTACCAGGCCCTCCTCCAATATTGGCAGTCATTTCAGCATGAGATTTGGAGGGGACACAATATCCACACCAAATCAATACCTGTGCAAGAAGCCAGAGGTGGGCGCAGTGGCTCATGCCTGTAATCTCAACACTTTGGGAGGCTGAGGTGGGTGGATCACTTGAGGCCAGGAGTTTGAGACCAGCTTGGCCAACATGGAGAAACCAACCCTGTCTCTACAAAAACATGAAAGTTAGCCACATGTGGTGGCACTCACATATAATCCCAGCTACTTGGGTGGTGGAGGTACAAAAATTGCTTGAACCCAGGAGGAAGAGGTTGAAGTGAGCCGAGATCATGCCAGTATGTTCCAGCATGGATGACAGAGCGAGACTGTCTCAAAATAAAAAATAAGAAGAAGGCTGGGGACGGTGGCTCACACCTGTAATTCCAGCACTTTGGGAGTCTGAGTAGGGCTGATCACCTGAGGTTAGGAGTTTAAGACCAACCCGGCCAACATGGTGAAACCCTATCTCTACAAAAATACAAAAATTAGCCAGGCATGATGGCGGTGCCTGTAATCACAGCTACTCAGGAGGCCGAGGCAGGAAAATCACTTGAACCCAGGAGGCGGAGGTTGCAGTGAGCTGAGATTGTGCCATTGCACTCCAGCCTGGGTGACAGAGCAAGACTCTGTCTCAAAAATAAAAAAAACAAAAAAAACCCCCAAAGAAGCAGAGAGTTACCTGGCTCCCTTCCTGCCACGTGGGTATGCAAGAAGTTGGCAGTCTGCAACTTGCAAGAGGTCCCTCCCCAGAACCTAACCTGCTGGCACTGTGATCGCAGACTTCCAGCTTCTAGAACTGTGAGAGATAAATGTTTAAGCCAGTTTGTGGTATTTTAAAAATGGTAGCCTGAGCCAACTAAGACAGTTGGGTTTTGCTGCAATAACAAATGTCCCTCAAATCTTACTGACTTACACAGTCACAGATTTCTTCCTTGTTCATGGCACACATCCAGGTCACCAGGCTCTGCTTTTTGTTTTAAGAGACATAGTTTTGCTCTTGTTCTGTCACCCAGTCTAGAGTACAGTGGTGTGATTATAGCTCATGGCAGCCTCAGCTTCCTGGGCTCAAGCGATCCCTCTGCCTCAGCCTCCTGAGTAGCTGGGATTACAGGTACCTGTCACCACGCCCAGATAAATTTTGTATTTTTAGTAGAGACGGGGTTTCACCATGTTGGCCAGGCTGGTCTTGAACTCCTGACCGCAGGTGATCCACCCACCTTGGCTTCCCAAAGTTCTGGGATTCCAGGCGTGAGCCACCATGCCTGGGCTTATTATTCTTTTTCAGAGTTATTTGGACTATTCTAGGTACTTAACATCTCCATAAGAATTTTGGAATCAGCTTTACAATGTTTACCAAAATCAAAACAAACAAACAAAAAAA